TAAACCCTTTCCTCCCCAAGTGTTTCATCAGAGGAACGGAAATTAACTGACGTCCATTCATACACGGAAGAACATTTGGGCCGCTGGCAGTCAGTCTTTGGATGTTACATGCAACGTCATGACAAGCACTGGTCTATAGATTTTTGTGTGGCTATAAACTTTTTCTCTGTGTGTGTTCAGGTGTCTATGGGTGCATGTGTTTGTGGAGACCAACTTGGGTGTTTTTCTTCAGCCCCTCCCCCCCCTTTTTTTTTTTTTTTTTTTTTTTTTTTTTTTTTTTTTTTTTTTTGGTTTTTTCGAGACAGGGTTTCTCTGTGAAGCTTTGCGCCTTTCCTGGAACTCACTTGGTAGCCCAGGCTGGCCTCGAACTCACAGAGATCCGCCTGGCTCTGCCTCCCGAGTGCTGGGATTAAAGGCGTGCGCCACCACCGCCCGGCTGTTGTTTGTTTTTATTTTTTTAAATATGGAACAATTCATTAATTCCTGTGTCATCCTTGTGCAGGGGCCATGCTAATCTCTGTATCATTCCGATTTTAGTGTATCTGCTGCCAAATAGAGCATCCACCTGGGTTTTTTGAGACAAGGTCTTTCACTGGCCTGGAGCTACCAAGGCAGGCTGGCCACTGAGGCACAGGGATCCACCTACCCCGGCCTCCTTGGCTCTGGGATTACAAGCTAAAATACCATGCCTGGCTTTTTTTTTTAATTTTAATTCTCTCCCTCAATAAAACCTTCCCCTCCAGGATACCTAGGAGCGGCCACGTCCACATTTTCATTCACCCTGATTCTTTGAATCACAAAGAACAAGCATTTCAAAACCGAGAGCTTCCACAGTGGCCACTGACCATTCACACAGCCTCTGACTTTATCTGGGTCCTGGCCCAACACACCACTCCACCCGACCTTGCCTTTCACAGGACCAGGATGTAACCTACTTGTGTCTCCGATCTTGTTAGTCACACCCTCTCTACGCCCTCTTAGCCCCAATCTCAAGTGCCCCAAATTGAGAGGGGGAAGGGGCTCAGGAATCTCGAGCCTCCTTCCGGAGGGATCTGTTTCCTGGAAGTCCCTTTTGTCCTTCCCCACCGGGCTCCATGTGACTAATACATGAACAGAACGAGCTGGCCTCCCCTCCTCCCCACTAATAGGTAGGTAGTCATTTTATCACTGCTTCAAGGACCAGTCCAGTGTTACCCACCCTACCTCCCCTGTGGGTGAGCTCTCCCATACATAAGGGCTCCACTCTGGGGGACCTATGGGATATAGGGGTAGACACAGAGCCACCACCAGCAGGACCAGGTCCCTGCCCTAAGACAGGGAGGCGATCTTCACACTTTCAACACCTCTGGGTAGAAATGATGGGATATGCCACTCTCTTAACTCACATTAGGCTGTGAAATTTAATTATTTTATTCTCTCATGCAAATGAATCCTCTGTTCTTTTAATAAAACTGTTTGATGCCACATACATTTTTTTTCACAATGAAAGACCTCTTGTGGAGCTCTACAAATATCTTTGCATGCTTTCTCAAATATTATACATGCACCCTTTGCAGTAGTTCTCAACCTGTGGGTCACAACCCCTTTGGCAAACCTCTGTCTTCAGAAATATATTTCTTACCATTCATAGCAGCAGCAAAATTACAGTTATGATGTAGCAACAAAAATAATTGTATGGTTGGGGGTCACCGCAACATGAGGAACTGCACTAAAGGGTCGCAGCATTAGGAAGGCTGAGAACCACTGACCCATTGTGTTGCTCTGTCTGCTAGGATGGTTTTAGCATTGAACACACGCAGTGCTCAAATCTTGGTATCCAAAAACCGTTCTCTTTGGTCTTTGGGGAAATGGCTGGTTCCAGGCTGGGCATGGAAGGTCCAAGTGAGTCTACAGCATCTTATCTCACCAGATAGTAAGGAAGTTCTATACACTGATGGGATCTGTCAAAAGGATGCAGGAGGCAGCATGGGTAAGCCTTCCACTGGCCCAATCTGGAACAATTCGAGCATTCAAACTAATGATGATAATTCATTCCATTCCACTGAATAAAACATGAACCCACAGTGATGTGAATAGGGAAGTGGGGGGCTGGAGAGATAGTTCACCGGTTAAGGGCATGAACTGTTCTTGCAGAGGAACCAAGATCAGTTCCCATCACCCACAATGAGTAGCTCACAATGGCCTGTAAATCCAGCCCAGGGAATTGGACATCTCTGGTCTCCTCAGGCACTCATCAGCACATAATCACATAGAGACACATGTGTAATTAAAAACAATTGAATCTTTAAAATAAATAAATAAATGGTGAGAAAAGCGAATAGATCCATGATAGGGAGAATCCATTTTTTCTTTGTGTGGTGTTGAGCATAGAACACAGGGTCCACCACTGATCCACACCCTCTGTCTACTCTGTCTACACACTCCTCTTTAAAGTCAAATGCCAACTAGGGAGCATAAACAGCTCGATGGCATCAGAAAATTGCTGCATGTCAACTGTGATAGCAATAGCCCAGGCATGAAACATGCCCAAACTGGTAAGCAGTAGTTGGAAAGGAAACAGGATATTTCCATGGCCCCAAAGGTCCTCCTCCTACAAAGCAGTTTTTAATTTCCAAAAGAAAAAAAAAATGTTGCTTTGGCAGCAGACTGTGTTAGCATCCTTCTAGGGCAAACTGACAGCGTGGACTGCCCGTGGGGGTGGCACTAAGAAAAGCTGAGTGCCACTCTGGTGACAGTCCTACCAAACAATACACAGTCTCATCACAGTCATCAGGAACATCAGACAAGCCGAGCTGAAGGATGGGGTTCGAAGTCACTCTGTAACTACTCTGGGTTGAAGAGGAGCAAAGAAAGGGAAACAAGCCAGTGTATGTGTGGCCCTGGACCAGGTCCCTTCACTTCAAGGACATGATCGAGACCATTGCCAAACATCACGATGCGGGCCAGAAGAGCGCATGGGAGTTTCTTGTACTACACTGACCACTTTTTAGGCCCCTTGTAACTTTCAAGTTCTTTCCAGTGAAAAGTAAGAGCCAGGTGGCGGCGGCGGCGGCGGCGGCAGTGGCGCACACCTCTAATCCCAGCACTCCGGAGGCAGAGCCAGGCAGATCTCTGTGAGTTCAAGGCCAGCCTGGGCTACAAAGCGAGTTCCAGGAAAGGCGCAAAGCTACACAGAGAAACCCTGTCTCGAAAAACCAAAAAAAAAAAAAAAGAAAAGAAAAGAAAGAAAGAAAAGAAAAGAAAAAGGAAAAGTAAGGAGAAACAAATCCCCAGCAGAAGAAAGCCAAAGGAGGGTGTGAGTGAAGAGTGTGCAGGTTGTAACCAGATGAGGGAACAGGACTGACCACTTCGTGTCAAACTGGTGAAAGAAAAACCTTCAAGCTGAAGGAGAAAAAAGACAGGCTGGGTTATACGGCATTGGTTTCTCCTGTTCCAGTCTTGACTGAAAATACCATTCTCACTACATAGTCAGGCGGGTGCTACCTCCACCTGTAATTCCAACATTTGGGAAAAGGCAGGAGGATTACTCGGAGTCCAAGGCCAGCCTGGGCTATAAAACATGACTATCTTAAACAAACAACAACAACAACAACAAAACATGATAGGGGCTAGAGAGATGGTTCGGTGGTTACAACCACGTGGTGCTGGGAACCTTTGGAACCTAGAACTCCATGACCCAAGGCACCCAACACTCTCTTCTTGCCTCTAAGGCACCTCCCCACACCTGACACATGCTGTGGAATATAGTTTAAGATGTGTTACACTTGTTTATGCTGCGGAATATTTGTTTAGTGGTGTGAAGATGTGCTGCATTCTTTTATGTTGCATTTCTTTACCTCTGTGAAGATGTGTTACTTTACCTGTCTAAAACACCTGATTGGTGTAATAAAGAGCTGAATGACCAATAGCAAGGCAGAAGAGAGAAATAGGTGAGGCTGCCAGGGAGAGAGAATTAATAGGAGAAATCTAGGCTCGAGAAAGGAGCGAGAAAAGGAGGAGAGGAGGAGGTCAGGGGCTAGCTATTCAGCCAGCCATGGCGTAAGAAGGAAAGAAAGATACATAGAGTAAAGAAAGGTAAGAAGCCCAGAGGTAAAATGTAATTAAAGAGAAATGGGATACGTTAAGTTAGAAACAAGCCAAGCTAAGGCCTGGCACTCATAAGTAAGAATAAGTCTCCATGTATTTATTTGAGCGCTGGGTGGCAGGCCCTTAAGAGCAAAACAACAACAACTACAGACACATATACACAACAATCATTATTATTGTTATCATCATCATTACTATCATCACTGTTGTAGTTTGAATGTAATTGGCCCCCATAAGCTCATAGGGTGTGGTGGTATTGTGTTCCCAAAATATTGTGCACTCTAATAAACTTATCTGGGGTCACAGAACAGAACAGCCACTAGATACAGAGGCTAGAAAATGGTGGCACTCACACCTTTAATCCTAGCCTTCTGGAGGCATGGATCTCTGTGAGTTCAAGGCCACACTGGAAATAGCCAGGCATGGTGACTCATTCCTTTAATCCCAGGAAGTAATGACAGAAAGCAGAAAGGTATATGAGGCATGAAAACCAGGAACTTGAGCCTGGTTAAGCTTTTGGGATTTTGAGCAGCAGTTCAGCTGAGATCCATTTGGATGAGGACACAGAAGCTTCCAGTCTGAGGAAACAGGATCAGCTGAGGAATTGGCAAGGTGAGGAAGCTGTGGCTTGTTCTGCTTCTCTGATCTTCCAGCACTGACACCAGTACCTGGGTCCAGGTTTGTTTTTATTAATAAGACCATTTAAGATTCCTGCTATAATAGGGAATGGCATTCTTAGGAGGTGTGGCTTTGTTAGAGTAGGTCTGACCTTGTAGGAGGAAGTGTGCCACTGTGGAGGCAGGCTTTGAGGTCTCATATATGCTCAAGCCATGCCCAGTGTCTCAGCTCACTTCCTGTCACCTGTGGATCAAATGTATCTTCTTCTCCACTCTCAGCTCCTTCTCCAGCACCATGTCTGTCTACACGCCACCATGTCCTGCCATGATGATAATGGACTGGACCTCTGAAACTGTAAGTGAAACAATTAAATGTTTTCCTTTATAAGAGTTGCCATGGTCGGGCAGTGGTGGCACATGCCTTTAATCCCAGCATTCAGGAGGCAGAGGCAGATGGATCTCTGTGAGTTCGAGGACAGCCTGGTCTACAGAGTGAATTTCAGGACAGCCAAGACTGCTTCACAGAAGAAAAAAAAAAAGCCATGGTGTCTCCTCACAGCAACAGAAACCCTAAGATAGTCACCATCTTTAAAAAACTAAATAAGTATATTTTCCATGAATTATCCAAAATATAACAGAAATAGATCTATTGGGAGATAGGCCTACTAAAGTCCATTGTTGGGGTCCACAGAGGTTTCCTAGTGAGATTTGAGCTTGCTTTACACAGCAGAGCTTCATAAGGGGGTGGATTGACCACCTGTGTGGTTACCAGGTGTTTGGAATGTTCTGCACTTGGCTGTGCTGGGGGGAAGTCTTTTGCTCCACCCCTTGGCATTCCTTTAAAAGCCCTTTAGAAGAGACAGAAGGGGACCGTGGGTTTTGACCTCCTGAGGCTATCCTGTGTTTCTGTCTGTCTCTCCTCTCTATATTTCTATCTAAATCTCTTATCTCTCATTCATTCCTCAAGAGTCCCTGGGGTAAATAGATGTGGGAGCTGGTCTGTCTCCCACAGTCCATATAACTATGGCTACTTGTACAAAAACATGTATATAGTGAAAATTGAGGGTTTCAAGTGAGTGTAGTCACACCCAGTTCAAAATCCATTATGAAAAGTAGTACCAAAGGCCTGGAGCCAGGGGATATTCTCAAAATGGGTTTTAGTACCTAAATTTATCTACCTGGAAGGTTTTTAGAGAGAGGCTCGTCCTACTTAACCTTTTCAAGTAAAGGGCATCCCTTTTGGTAGAAAGTCTATACCCCACCATGAAGGAGGCACGCCATGCCTGCCCTCGGCTGAGCGTCTCCCCAGAGAAACAGGTTCTATTTTAGCCCTGCATGGTGCCCTGTAGAGACATGGCTTATGGACAATTTATTTCACTTGGCTGCTCATGTGCAAACATATCAATCAAGCGGCTTATGAACTGGCAACTTACCTCCTCACTCAGTTTGTGCTTCTGTTAAAGTAAGTACGCGTTAGTCAGGCATAGGAGGTCAGGCCTATAGTCCTAGCTGTTTGGGACGCTGAAGCAGGAGGATCCAGTGGGACCCAGGTGGGTTCATAAGCCTATCAATAACTAATAGGAACAGTATTGTGTAGGCTCTTGGGTAGTCTAGATAGCGGCTCTGCTCTAGAGGTTCGCAGTGATCACTAGCCCGATTCCCAAATAAGAAAACTGCATCTAGCCTCCAACAAATGCCACTGCAGAGTAAATACTGCTGGACCACCAAGGAGACGTCACCTGCTTCTAAATCCAGTGCAATTTCATGACACCAGGTTCACTGGAAAGTACCACAAATAACTGATCCCAACCCATTTTTATTTTGTATCTATAGCTCAAGTCTCTCTCTCTCTCTCTCTCTCTCTCTCTCTCTCTCTCTCTCTCTCTCTCTCT